ATGGGTTGTGAGGGAACAACGGCTTGCATGGGCAGCAGAGAGGACAAGTAGGTGGGGGAATGCAAGGGATGGGTTGTGAGCAAACAACGGCTTGCATGGGCAGCAGAGAGGACAAGCAGGTGGGGGGATGCAAGGGATGGGTTGTGAGGGAACAACGGCTTGCATGGGCAGCAGAGAGGACAAGCAGGTGGGGGGATGCAAGGGATGGGTTGTGAGCAAACAACGGCTTGCATGGCCAGCAGAGAGGACAAGCAGGTGGGGGAAATCAAGGGATGGGTTGTGAGGGAACATTGACTTGCATGGGCAGCAGAGAGGACAAGCTGGTGGGGGGATGCAAGGGGTGAATTATGAGGTAACATTACAAGCAAGATAGTACTCACTTCTTGATGTCGCGTCGCAATTCATCAAGTGTGCCCTCTGTGTGGTACCAACGCCGACACCCCAACATGTAGCAGTCCACAAACGCCGCTACCGCATTGATGACGGCTTGGGGCACGAGCGCAACCATGCTGAGAACAATGCATATCTCTTGCATGACAGCGCGATGTTCGAACGCCTGGAAGTTTGAGCCACCTGAAAAGTATCCTCCCTTTTCCGTCCCTGGCATACGAAATCCAGAAATGCGGGTGTTACCATGAACCGATTGAAGTGCGTCATCAAGCTCAACCAACACCTTACGATTTCCCTTGAACATGTTGCGAATGCATGAAACAATGTGTAAGAAAACACCCAACTCCCACGCGTGCATGACTTCAACAAGAATGGCACGATACGGGTTACCAACGTCAGTTAGCCCGAGTGCAAACCCCCAGATGGCGGCCTGTAATAGGGAAACACAGGATGGGCAAAGAGAGAACTAAGTTGTGTACACGATACATGGGAAGTCGAGGGGACCCTTAACCACCACACGAGTGAGGCACGGGAGAGGAAGTGAGGTGAAGTGAGGAGGGGGGCTGGACTCATGGGAAGTGGAAGGTGCACGGAAAGTGACAGCGGGGTAGATAAAAAACGGGGAAGGGGAGGTGGATAAGGTGAATTTGTAACGTGGTGGGCAAAAGAAGTTGCATCGAGATAGAGGAGTGGATGTAAACACATAGAAGTAGGAATTCTATGACGGAAGAAGAGAACGGGGGAGGGCAGAGGTACACGATACGGGGGGATGAGGGACACTAAAAATGGGTCAGAGACGAACTACAAACCTTGTGGGGAAGGGGGATGGGGGGGAAAGTGGGGGGGAAGGTGGGGGAGAAGGAGGGGGAGAAGGTGGGGGAGAAGGAGGGGGTGAAAGAGGGGTTTGGGGGACACATCGCTAAAGGCAGGCGCTACTCACCTCTACTGGATGGGTGCTAATACTGCGTGAAGCGTTTAGACGCTGGGTTGGAACTTCAATCGCCATAAGCTCTTTCACTTTATTCATTTGATCCTCCTCGGTCCGATACACCAAAGGGAGCTCCATGTTGCTGATGTTGTCCGTTTCCACCAGGCATCGGTGGCAAGGAAACTTAGCCTTATGGCTTGCGAAAGTTCCAGCCACCTTGCATGCCTCTGGGTGATCCGCAACGTACGCATACAACATTGCGTACATCATGCGCTCAACACCAAATGGATCCAGCATGGGCCTGCCACTGAACATGGGTAGGAAGAACATTGAAATAGTGTTATGTGAGTGAGTGTTTGTACACATACACCATGCAAACAAATATGAAACACCAGAGAAACCTTAAAGGCATACGAACCTGGCTGAAAGTTGCTTGAGGTCGCGCAGAACGTGGCACATAGCTCTCTGGAAGATGTTTCGCCGGATAGCCTTGCCCGCCTCTGTTTTTGCGTCAATGCCGGTCAAGGGAGGCAACAAGGCCACCATCCTGTGCCCATGCGGCTGCCATCTGTCTTTCACTTGGATGTTTGCCAGCGTGACATAAACAGGATGGCCTACAACACGGCCATCGGAGCTCAGATTTGTCGCATCACTGTAGATAATTACGTTTGCAATAACGCTGCCACACGGAATTTCCTTTTGGGCATTGATCCACATGTCCCCTGTTTCAGGGCCAGCAAAGATTCGCTTCCCATCGCTCGTTTTTAAAGCCTCTGCCCACACAACAAAACCTTCAGCCACTTTTGGTTCATTGTACAAGCTCTGAACAGCATCCGCAAGAGATGTTTTGTATAGTTTTGCGGAACCATCTTTGTTCTCACTCACATCAATGCTTTCCCAGGTGGCAAACCCACTCACCTCGGCCAATTGTTGCTTCTCAAACTTCTCCATGCTTGTTCGATTGTGGTACACTGGCTTTTTATACTTGGGATGATGCAAAATGCACAAAATACGGTTGATATCAGAAGCTGACAACCCCATGCCACCATTACACGACAAGAGCACTGTCAAAAGAGCAATATTGACATCCCATTCAGGCTCAACGCTTGGTAGATCGTCCTCCACCCCTAATCCAACGATGGGTGGACTAGGTTCTCTCTCAAACTGACCTCCCACAGCAGAAAAATGGAAGGTTGGTTCGGATCCAGTGGGTGGACTAACCTCAGGTTGTTCCCGTGAAACGCGGAGCCTCTGTCGCTCTCTTTCCAGCTCCTTGTCCACTCGTGCACGTTGCACCCGTTCCATGAATGCTACCTGTTCATCTCGCCTTGTTGATCCCGTGGCCTTGCAAAACTTCTTGTGCTTTCCCAAGTCTGCACGAGTAGCAAACTGACGAGCACAGATGCATGATACCACCATGATTGCCAATGCAATCAAAAACTGCACCCGAAACCAGAGTTTGATTGTCATAGAAGCCAGAGCAGTAATGGGAGATCTTAGACTGACATTCAAGACTAATGCAGATAATGTACTCGCATTCCGGAATATCAAACGGCCATACAACCCAGGAGATTCGTGGCTGGAAGTTGATGGTGCTTCTGGGGCTCGTTTTTGCAAAGAAAGTGGTAATAGAAACCACCAGCAATCCGTTCCTGGAGGAAAATTATTATCAAAACGTCACTTATGTCCTCATATTTGAGCAGCAGTGAAAGTCGCCCGTAATAATTAAAGGCTCTGGAAAAAGAGCAACACTAGATTTCTTAGGAATGAGATTCTGGAAAATTCAGAGGCATGCTGAGTTCCTTGAGTTCCTTAGTGAGATTGGGTCTCAAACCCTAGGAACGAGAAGGGTGCCTCGTATATGTAATTCTCAGCGGTAGAAAGAGATGATGTGCAGCAGAGACCGGCTGTAATGTACTTTCTCTCGTTTGGGTACGATTTAGGGTAAACACGCACCCATTTCGTACCCTTCGTAGAATCGAGTTCAGCAGAAGGGGGACCCTGGGGGCTGCGAGGCACCAATCTCGCTCAGATTCCCAAGCTTCTTGATTGGTCGCGGGTCAAAGTGAGTCAGACGCGACCCCACGTTACCCTATTTGCGACACGAAACGACTGTGTAGTAACACGGTCGCAACGCACGAGAGTTGATCGCGCCAGATCGCAACACCAGGTGAGAGAAATTTTGTCGCGCGCCAGTGATTGGGCGATCGATTTCAACGACTACATTCAACGGACTCGTCACCAGAGGCTACGGTAAAACTGAAGTTGTATTGTCCTTGTAGTAACATGGCCTCTTACATAGATATTTCAAGCTCCTACAAAAAATGTTTTCCTATGACAATATATTACGTTGAGTGCATAATAAGCTCAATGATGCAAACATTAAAACAAAGCAACTATTCAGAATAATGACTTCCAATAATAAACATTGGGTATTAATCTACCATAACTCCGAAAACACAGTACTCCAAGAAAAAAAATTGACAATGCAAATTTGTAACAAAGCAGCTTAACAAGTTACTGTACTTTTCAGAGACTTTGAGTAGTAACGATAACTTGCATACGACGAGATTTTCAGCACGAACAATCTTCACTGTTGACGCACAGTTGCGAAACTTGCCCCACGACGCAAGCAGTTAGCACGCATACTCTGCACAATGTATCGACGATGTGCTCTGATTGGTCGCGAGAGCACAGACATTCGTGACAATCGCCAACGCGATTCCCAAATTGTTCCCCCCCAATTTTCCCACCAACATTATCGCCCGAGTATTGCCTCCCCGATTGCCAGTGCAACACCTCAAATGTCCGATGATGCTACTCAGGAGCTCCAGTGGTCCTAATGTAAGGATATGAATGTTAGTCGGTACCAGTTCCAGTTCAGCCAGAAACGAAGCCTCACTACCCCGAATTCTACTAGAACCATCGCACAATCTCCTAACTCTCTCTTCCTGTCGGGGACACCACCCTAGTTCCTCGGCACTTGCTCCAGCCATGACTCTACAAGAATGAGAGGGCCCAAAATCACCGCGGGGGCTACTATGGGTAGGTGTGCGCAAAAAAAAAAAAAGTCTGCCAGATGCTGGCAGCATGGCTAGGAGAGAACCGCATGCCTCCGACAACGTCTCAACACTGCGTAAGTTTGCGAACCCCTCCGCTCCCGCCCGCTGATTCGCAGTGTCTCTCCGAGAAAAGCGCCAGGTGATTGGTCGCGCACATCTGGGATACGAGCCTTCTGATTGGCCGCGCCACTCTGGGACACCCCAGTGTGTGGTTTGGGTCACTGTGTAGTTGTACATCCTATAAGTTCCATCCTGATCCGATCAGTAGTTGGCCACACCACAATCCCTGTATTTAAAAACAGTTACATATAGCATACGCCGCATATGTTCTGAGTAATAGATATAATGTGCCCCATATAAGGCCAGCAGGGGGCGCATACGGGTACGAGCTCTATCTCGCCCCTTACTATAACATACGCATATATGATACAAGGATCCCGCACAAAGTCTGAAGGAGGCCCACAGGTGGGAGCTGGAACGAACGACGCGGGTGGGGGGTTGGTGAGTAAGTATAACATGGCTGACCAGGCATGAGATTGGCACGAAACTGGGCTAGTCTTGCGCTGTGCCGAAACACCGATTACGTTCCCCCGTGCCATTAAAGATGTGGCAACGGCTGATCAAGTGAGGCTCTCAGTGCACCTGTACGCCCATCGGTTCAGGTACCAAATCCCTCGCCGCTCGAACAAGGGCACGCAGTGAACGGCGCGACGGATGGCAGCCACCTCAATGACCGCCAGTCCCCCCATTGCCGATGGAGCAGAGAGCGTGCGGCAGCCAGTGTGAGCGTCCAGCCCCACATCCACCAGCCTCTGGATAACAGCCACCTCCACCTCCTGCTCGGCCCCTAGCACATACTGCTCTGCCTCCAGCAGCATGAGGAGCCTCCCATGCTCAACCTGCCCTGCTGCCGTCTCGTACTCCACGCACGAGAAGGCTTTGTGCCCGTGGAAGGAAGCGGCAGCCCGGACATAGTGGGGCCGCACGGTGCCAAGGTCCGTGTGTCTTGCAGGCAAGGCCAGAGCCGTGTGTGCCTGCGACAAGGGATGGGTTATAGTGTACAGTTAGCATGGTTTAACAGCCTCCTGGCAGGATGGCATGGTTGCGTGCAACACCGCACTGCATCCGCAACAGAGAGGCCACAACACGAGTTCACGTAAGCATGCACGTCTACGTTACCTTGGCTGGAAAGGGGCGTAAGCATGCCGCGCGCATGGCACCGTCGTATGTGGCAAGGATCCCGCCCAGCGCCGTGTTCAGCTCCTCGAACACCGAGCCCGCTGGCTCGCCACCATGGGGAGCGCTGGTGAGCGACCTGCTAGCCCTCGTCAGCTGCGAGGTGCCCGTGGCGATGGCCTGAATGGGATGGATGTACATGATGATGGATGGCGGGCAAGTACTTGTTTAAGCGCTATAGCGATTTGTGTTGTTAGGGAATGAGAAGGGTTGCGGATTAAAATGTTCTCTATAGCTAACGAAGCCGACCTGCAGTTCTGCCAGTGTGTAAGCTAAGACAGCCATTGGCAGGTGACACCCAAGCGCACACAAATCGGTCACAGGGTAACATCCGTATTCGACGATGCGAAATAGGAGTACACCGTATTGGTCAGAATTGCATCAATGTCAGCACCAATGGGGATTTCAGGGTTGCTGTAACACGTGTGTGCTGGGAATGGGTACAGCAAGATATGCTGACGCGTAACGAGAGCGGGTATTAGTACCCCCTTCTGGTGTCCACGTCGGAAACTGCTTCCGGGTAACAATCCGACCGGAACTCCTGACTTGGACATTGTTAGACTCACCTGGCCGTTTTTTCACACGAAGCGGATGCGAGGAGGTTACCTGGCTTGTATTATCGCGCAATCACGGACAGCCAACCCCGATATCCATCTGCGACCCGCAATGGTATTCGCAGTATCGAGTTACTCAACTCGCCGAACCATAGCGGCTATTCGTCAGTTAGTCGTATCACCACGAAGAGGTTACAGGATGGGTCCACCGCTCTCGTACATTTTATCCAGGCTTCGCTAGGATCCATCGAGCGCGTATGTCTCAGCAACAAATGCGCATTTGGTCTGCACAACTCCGATTCTTCACATTTCAGAATCTGCATTCAAAATCATGGTGATCACACGCCCCGCTCTAGAGCGCCTTCTAGCCCGTCCAGCGCAGTGGCGTTCCGCTCGCGATGGCAGTGCACACCCTTATACACGCTACCGTGGGCCTGTCTGGCCCAAGACCCGCATGACCAAGACTAGGCCCCCGTCTACAGCCGTGCTTGTGCGGGATTTTCACGAAATTACGGCTGTTGTTATGCAGGCGGAGTACTTGCGCCTCCTGTCTTCTAGTGTGGCGCCAACAGCGCGGAAGCTCGTCGAAGCTGTTGAGCATCTAGTTGCCACCCGTCATGCAACGGCTCGCACACAACGCCGGCATGCAGTGGGTGCGCTCCGACAAGCTCGTGGCGGCTCTCCCTTCGACACACTGTCATTCCTAGACAGTGCGTGTATCACCGCGGTACTACACGATGAACGGGATACGGCCTCCGTGCTAACACTTGCGCAGCGCTTTGTGCGCATCGTGGCTGGCCGAGGGTCACCTCAATATTAATTACGATGCGACCGGCCTCGGAGACCTGGCATCAATGACTCCGTGCGCTCAGGACTACCGCGTATTTCTTATGCACTTCACGATGAGCGAAGGATGGGTGGTGAGCTATGGCGAGACTGGTATTTGCTTCACTGCTTACTACGCAAACGTTCATTGTCATGCTAAGCCCACTTATTGGTGTACCTGCAGATGGAACATGGGAAGTACCAATATTGGGGCGCAGAAGATGCCCGTGTCGTTTTCAGCGCGCACAAGATCGTGCAGCCAATGCTCTACAACTACGAACAGAGCAAACATGTGGGCGGCGTAGACGGGATTGGTGCCGCTATTCTGGCACACGCTGTCGAGATGCTTGCATGGTGGGAGGTGGCATCGCCGGATCGTGAGATATGGCCTGTTCGGAGGGGCAAGCACATGTGCGTGTATCCGTGGGAGGTTCCCGACGGCATGCTCGCGGCACCTCTTTATCGCCTCGTCAGGCAGGACTATGAGTGGAATCACCCTGACAAGGACTAGCCGGAATTCCGACTCTAGTATATAGTTGTGTTTCAACACTGTGGATATTCTTGTGTGTGAGAGGTTGACTAAACATGGTTTAGGCTGGTGTGTGTCGGCACTTTGCTTGCATGTTAACTTTGTTCCGCGAATAGTAATATTATGCCAACAATGTTAACTTCGCTGGATTACATGCGATTTCACTCTCACACATAGATTTAGGATGTGTGTTTGTGCGACTACCCAACGGGCTTCCGAGCAAGCCAAGGCACTAGCCCACAACGCTCTCGCGCGCTCACACACAGAGCACAGGTCAAGACTAGGATGTCAATTATTGCGCGCGGCGTGGCCAAGCATACTATACATGCCTCGCCCTATGACTGGCCCACCAAGTGCGACCGTAGCACGGTATAGGATGGGGGTACGTAACAAACCCGTCGGCGGATTACTAAAATGACGTGGCTGATCCGTGGCTGTTCAAATGATTAGCTGGCAATGAGAAGGAGGAGGGGTACGAAAAAGTTACTGGCGCCAAACATGCGCTGTAAACAACGGCGACACGTTATAAGGCGGTGACATGGGTAGGACACGCCGGATACGTCGAATATCTGCTGGCACTTTACCAGCTCTGCATGAGCGAGATATTTTCGATTTTTCGCTTCATTGGCGCGCGCAACTATGATAAGCGCTCAATGTGAGAAAATGAGAACGAGAATGAATGAACTATGAATGAACTGGTACAAGTACTAACCCTAATTGGGTTGTACCCCTTGTGGGATACCCCACTATAGCCTACACAATATGCAAAAGCTATATGTTCTGACACACCCCCATAGGCAAAGTGGGGGAGAACAAGGGGTCACAAGACCAGTCAAGCAAAGCAAAGCAAAGCAAACTCAGGGTGGATCACAAAGTCACCACACAGTCCGAGCACAAGGTCAAGGCCACAAGGTCAGTTCACATGCAGGGGTAGACAGATATATATAAGGCTAAACAAGTAAGAGCAGGTATATATATATAAATGCAAGAGTACAAGCAAGGTCAAGAGGTGAGCAAGTGAGGCAAGACTAGGACAAGTCCCAGCTAAGTGCAGAAGCGCTGATGATCACAAGCGGAAGTGCCTTGGTGAAAACATCAGCAGTGTTGGCCTCAGAGGCCACGTACGCAAGTCGCAATTGACCACGCTGCTGCAGCTCACGAGCAAGAAAGTAGCGGAAAGCAATGTGCTTCGTTCTGTTCTCCAGGCGCTGCTGACGACACAAGGCCAGCATGGCCTTGTTGTCTACGTACAGCACTGGAGGAGAACGAGGCGACTCTCCAAGGTCGGCCAGCAGGTACGTGAGCCAGCGAAGCTCCTGTGCAGCCATGGCCCCGGCGTAGATCTCAGCCTCACAACTGGAGCCGAGAACAGAGGACGAGCGAGTAGCCCGCCACGAAATAGAGCCAGAACCAAGACTGAAGGTGTAACCCTGGGACGACCGCTGAGTAGCCTGGTCGTCAGCCCAAGAAAGGTTTGCGTGCCCAGTGAGGACCACTGGACTCCGCCCTCCAAGCACTAGCCCCATGCCCAAAGTACTGCACAAGTAGCGCAACACCCTCTTCGCTGCAGCCATGTGCTCTGGTCTGTGTCTCCCAGGAGCAACATAGCGTACAAGAATGCTAAGAGGGTATGCAAGGTCAGGTCGTGTGCAGGTCATCAGGTACATGAGGAAGCCAACAAGCTCTGGGTATGGGCCACTCGACTCTACGGACTCATCCGAAGGCAGAGCTGAGAGCGAGTGGCGAGTAGACAGAGGAGTGGCCTGAGGCGAGGAGTACGTGAAGCCGAAGCGCTGAAGGACCTGCTACACCATGTGTGACTGAGTCAAGGTAATGGTGCGGCGTGCTCTGTCCCGGGTGATCTGCAAGCCAAGGTAGCTGCGAAGTTCACCCAGGTCTGTGCACGTGTGTCTCTTCTGCAGCTCGGACTTCACGTAGGCGAGTCCAACAGTGTCACCTGTGGCAAAGACCAAGTCGTCGACGTACACGAGGATGTAGAACGGCGACAGAGAGGTGTCGGTGCGCAGAAACAACGACGGGTCAGCAGTAGAGAGAGCAAACCCAAGAGCCGCAAGCGTAGTCCTCAGTGTGTTGTGCCACTCACGTGGTGCCTGGCGGAGACCGTAGACTCGCCGTTGGAGGCTCCACTGGGTGCTAGGAGGGAAAGTCCCAGTGAAGCCAGGTGGACGGCGCAGCCAGATCTCCTCGTGCAGGCTACCCTGCAAGAAAGCAGTGCTGAAGTCAAGAGAGTGAAGCTCGTAGTCGCGCTGAGCAGCTATGTGCAGCAGCACCCAAAGAGTGGTCATCTTCGGGGTGGGAGAGAAGGTCTGAAAGTAGTCAACTCCCTGCCGCTGACTGAAACCACGAGCGACGTACCGCGCCTTGAAGACAGGTGGAGAGCCCGGTGGCCGCTTCACCTTGAAGTTCCACATGCCACTGACGATGTTCGCCCCAGGAGGGGGAACGGCGTCAACGTAGGTGCCTGTGGACTTCCAGGAAGCCATCTCTGCATCCATAGCTGCCTGCCACTGAGAGGAGTAGGGACCCTCTACGGCCTCCGCGTAAGAGCGCGGAGTCGGGATGTCTAGTGCATCCGGGTCTCCCTCAGGGGCAAGTAGTACGGATGCGAGATGAGGTGAAGCAGCAGCCAGACACTGGAACTCCTCCTGCCTGTCCTCAAGGACGTCCGTGCCAAGAGCACACTCACCCTCGACGGACGGAGGACAGACAGACGCAGACTCAGCAACAAGGCTAGCAGCGTAGTCTAGACGACAGCGAGCAGCAAAGTCGACGAGCTCAGCAACAAGAGCAGACGCAGCAGTGGACTCAAAAGAGGGGTCAGTGACGACAGTAGCAAGGAGATGCGTGACAGTAGGACTAGCAGCATGAAGAGTGTCCGACTCCGGGTCGGCCAGCGCAGGGAGAGAGGACTCAAGAGGAGAAGGCAAAGGGGCACGCAGAGGAGCAGTGGACGGACGCAGAGACATCCGGTGCGTGCCAGGTACAGGAGGAGGACGCTGACGCGAATCGCGACCACTAGCGCAAGAAGCACAAACAGGCAACGCGGGACAAGACGCAGGCTCACGACGCTCAGCAAGACCTCCAATAGGACCAGTGTAAGGAGAGGGAGCAGGCAGAGGTGAGGCGGGCTCTAATTGTAACTGATACAAGACAGGCGATGGACACTCTACAGGAGGAGAAAGACCAAGAACCTGCTGCAGGAGCGGAACGAA